AATTCAGGCAGTAAAGGCATATCCAGGAGCGGACGTATCTTCTGATCATAGTCTTCTTATTGCTATATTTCAACTTCAACTAAAAAAGACACAAAAAAGCCGCAATAACAATAAACTTAACATACAGAAACTAAAGTCAGAAGAAACAAAAGAAAATCTGAAACACGAAATCAACACAAATCTAGACAGAAACCCAGGAAATAACTGCAACGTAGAGCAGCAGTGGCAATTCTTCAAAACCTCTATATTGGAGCCAAGTAAGAAACTACTTACAACAACTAAATATAAGAAAGAAGAATGGATGACAGAGGAAATTCTAGAGTTGATGAATGAAAGGAGAAAAAATAAAACCATCAATAAGACGCGCTATAAACAGCTTCAAAACCAAATAAGAAGAAAAATTAGGGAGGCTAAAGAGACCTACTTCTCTGAAAAATGTAAAGAAATAGAAGAACTTCAAAACAGATATGACAACTTCAACCTACATAAAAAAGTCAAAGAACTAGCCGGAGTAGGAAATAGAAGAACCTCAAATATATTGCTCGACAAAAATGGAAATATTATATTGGAAACAGAACAAAAACTACGACGATGGAAAGAGTACATCGAAGAATTATTTCATGACCAGAGAGAAGCTAGTACATCTGTAGATAGCCAAACGGGAGACGTAGGTCCAGAGATAACCATGTCAGAGGGTAGTCAGGCATTAAACTCAATGAAAACCAATAAATCTGCTGGTCCAGATGAATTACCAAGCGAGCTACTAAAGTTGGTCAACGAGAAAAACCTAGACATAATAGTAGAACTATTCAACGCTATCTATACTACGTGAATCATTCCTAGAGAAATGTTGACATCAGCATTTGTGTGTTTGCCAAAGAAGGTGAATGCCAAAGAGTGTAGTGACTATCGAACCATAAGCTTAATGTCACATACCTTGAAAATTCTCTTGAAAATTATCCACGCCAGAATACACTCTAAACTGGAGCTGGATATTAGTGACACTCAATATGGGTTCTGCAATGGTATGGGTACCAGAGAGGCATTATTCTCCTTCAATGTGCTGACACAGAGATGTTTGGATGTTAACCGTCCTCTTTACGTCTGTTTTATAGACTACTATAAAGCGTTTGATAAAGTAAAACATGATCGACTCCTGGAAATTCTAAAAAACAAAAACCTAGATGAAAGAGATTTAAGGCTAATAACACACCTCTATTACAATCAGCGAGCAATAGTAAGAATCGAAAAAGAAACATCTGAAGAAATGGAAATAAAGAGAGGAGTCAGGCAAGGCTGCATTCTATCACCTCTATTATTTAACGCCTATTCTGAAGAGGTAATTCGAGAAACTCTGGAAGATGAAACAGTCGGCATAAGAGTAAATGGAGTCTTAATTAACAACATCAGATATGCAGATGATACAGTAATAATAGCCGATAGTTTACAAGACCTGGAAAGACTCATGAACAAAATAGTCATGTGTAGTAGGGAGTACGGACTCTCTCTTAATGTCAAAAAGACGAAGTTTATGAAAATTTGTAAAAACAACTATAATACTAACGAAATCTTGATAGTAGAGGGCCAGCAGATCGAAAGAGTAAAAAAGTACACTTACCTAGGAACACTTATAACAGAAAATAATAACTACACTGCAGAAATCAAAGAATCGAAAAAGCACGTTCTAATTTTATAAAAATGGAAAAGGTCCTATGTGGCAAAGATCTAACATTAGCTCCTAAAGTACGCCTAACAAAATGTTACGTATACAGTGTACTATATTATGGAGTGGAATCATGGACGTTAAATCTAGATACCATGAGACGACTTAACGCCTTTGAAATGTGGACCTATGGAAGAATTATGAGGGTTTCCTGGGTAGATAGAGTTACAAACAATGAAATACTGAGAAGAATAGGCAAAGAGAAGGAAATTGAACTTACAATTAAAGAAAGAAAGCTACAGTATCTCGGACATGTGATGCGGGGCGATAAGTATGGCATCCTGCGACTCATAATGCAAGGAAAAATAGATGGCAGAAGAAGCATCGGAAGAAGACGAATTTCATGGCTGAAGAACCTGAGAGAATGGTTTGGATGCAGCTCAAAACAACTATTTAGAGCTACTGCCTCAAAAATTAAGATAGCTATGATGATTGCCAACCTCCGTAGCGGAGATGGCACCTGAAGAAGAAGAAGAAACCAATTAAAAAAACATAGTAGTTTTCATCCAACCTTGGGACGTTGGTAGCACTGGTTTTTATTTCCAGTATGACAATATGTATAGTGGGTACAATTTAGAAATGATTTCCCATTGTGTAAATATAATAACAATTTGTAGTTAAAACACTGGTTAAAAACTGGTTTAAATCCATGAAATGACTGTCTGAAAATAATTAGTCCACTGAAGATCTTATACCAATTCTATATATAATTCTAAATATCCGTAAACTAAGTTTTCGAAACCAATTCAGATTTCTGCTTTAATATGTGCCTTCTAAAAATTGCAAGGCAACACAAACGTTGATAAAGATGTTAATAGAGACATGGGGAATCTAACATTAGGGCCTTGGTTTTATCACTTTAAAGCTTCAAACTTTTACGAGCAAATTTTTAGATTTTTTCTAATTTTTCTTTCAAATTTTCAATGTAGGTCGGGGATGAACATTCTTCTTCACAGGGAGGCAATCTTCCGAAAATAGGATCTTGAGGAAGCTTCATTTCTATTCCGGTGATCATCATTGATGGAGAATAACCAGTTGGTTCATGTTCGGAACTTCTATAGGCTAACAAGAATAGAGGAATTAAACTATCCCAATCTTTTTGATTATCAGAGGCAAACATTGAAAGGTATTGACAAACAGTTAGTTCTATTATGTCTTTCGACCATTCCGTCTGATTGAGGATGGAAAGGCGTAGTGCGAGTTTTCTTAATACCCAAGATTTTCATTAATTATTGCCATAATTCTGATTCAAAATTTTGTCCTTGATCAGAATGTAACTCTAAAAGAACTCCATGTCTTGATACGACGTGTGTTATAAATGCTTCTGTTACTGTAGTCGCTTCTTGATTAGGAAGGGGTACAATTTCAGGCCATTTTGAAAACTAATCCATTGCGACCATTAAGTACTTGTTCCCTCTTTCTGTCATCGGAAGTGGACCAAGAATATCTACTGCAAGTCGTTCAAAAGGCTCTCCGGAAAGATATTGTGCCATTTTACCACGACTTCTTGTTCTAGTGCCTATTTTACCATTACATAAATCGCATTTCCTACAACAATCTTCTACATCTCGGCGACAAGTGATCCAGTAAAATCTGTCTCGAACTCTGGCCAGTGTTCTTTTGACTCCAAAAATGTCCTCCAGAAAGGTTCTATAAATGCTATAAAGTTCTTGCAACACACTTTTAATGTGTGATTTCGGCAGTACCACTTATTGAACTATACCTACTCCATTGGGACTTTTATAGTTCCTCTGTATTTGGTTATTTCCTGCCAAATAGGTCTTACTCCATTTTTAAGCCATTCTCGTAAGACTCTTAAGTCATTATCTTTCTTTTTAATCTTTTTAAGGTTTTCCAGAGAAGTCTGATCATTATCTTCTTCCTGTATAACTGTGGTTATCTGGAGACTTACTTCTTCGGTTATGTTCTCTTTATCTTCAAGTCTTTTACAGTACTGGCATTGTCATTCCAAACAGGGTCGCCTAGAAAAAATATCGGCATTGTTATGGAGACGCCCTTTTCCATGTACTAAGTTATTGTGAGAGATCGATTTCTTAGAGGCTTATCTCTACTAGTATTACTAATAGGACTATGTGATGGGCTTCTGGATGGCGATCTAAACGACTTTCTAGCCTCATTCTTTAGATGTTTTCTCCTTGTTTGGAGAACGTCTTCTGAAATTATTTTTAAAATGTCCTATTCTTCTCGCAATTGTCAAAAATAAAAATTTTAAGTTGGTATTTATGACATTGAGGCTTATTTGTAATTGTCACTATTCAAATATATTTAAAAATTTAATTGTTTTTGTGTTAGGAAACTGTTTCAAAATTATATTTAAATTTCAGAGAAACATTTATTAGATTAGAACATTTTTATATTAATATTTTTTGTAATATGTTAGCAGCATTTTTGTATACCAAACTAAATTTATTTGGTGAGTTTTATTAAATTAGTATACCAAACTAATTTTATTTGGTGAACAAATGTTTTTTATTTCTAGTTTAACTTTGTAAGATATTTTGTATTTTTTAGCAGCTCTTGATAATAATTGTAAACACAATTGAAAGCTCGAGTAAAAAATAGTTAACAAATAGCCCCTTTTATTGACTCCAACCCATCCAAAACATTTTTATATTTTTTCCAAACGAGTCACAAGTACTTCTTTTTTCTTACTCTTGTAGAAATACATATATATTTCTCGCAAACCACTGCAGTGGTGAAGCTTTGGGAGACATTCGTTCTACTTTCCGTGTTTGAATTTGTATCAGCCCAAGTGTCTGATGAGGCTGGGATAGGCCGAAATGAGTCATAACACTTTATTGATACCGATTCGAACACGGGAAGTTTAACGAATTTGTCCTCCTAGGCCATATATTTGGCCAATTTAATACAACAAAGCGATAGCAGCTTTTTGCTAAAAGATTTATTCTTTACATATATATATATGTATATATATATATATATATATATATATATATATATATATATATATATATATATATATATATATATATATATATATATATATATATATATATATTCTGACTTTCCAAATTTCACTAGACATTTCAAGAATTTTTGATGTCATCTTGAATGTTCTCGAACTACTTCTTCTTTTTCGTCAATGTGGGAATTTAAAAATATGAAAGTAGCTTTTAAATAAGATCATATTATGTTAAAATATTAAGGATATAATATTTAAGTATTATATATACTATAATAGTGTATTATAGTAGGCATATAGAAAGTAAGCACTAAATACTTTTCCAAATATTACCTGTAAACCGAACTGGTTCTGCAAGGCGCATCAAAGCTATATCATATTTCATTGATACTTGGTCATACGTATTAAACACCACTGTTGTTTCAATTAGCTTATACTTTAAACAATAATTTCTCTCGCTAACACATTCTTGGTGTTCTTCTCCAATTTGTACTCTAAAAAATAACTAAGTATTTCAAAAAAAGCAATTTTACTCTAATAATATTTTCAACACTTTGTAGATAATTACTCCATTCTAATCATTCAGACCTAATCCATCATAGGATTGCTGGAAATAAAAGTTTTAGAGGGTTATTTTAAAGATTTAAAGATAGAGATATCCAAAGAAATTAAACTGAATTCTGATTGTTGCTTAAACACATAAATCAATTTCAATTGCAATTATAAACCTCTTTTTAAATTATTGTGGGAGATGTTAAAGGAAGAAAGGTGACCTCATGCACTCTTAATAAAATTTAATCTACTTTTTTAAATTCCATTAATTCTTTATAACAATTATTTTTAATAAATCATTTAATAAGTTTTTACAACAAATTCTTACAATTCCAATCAAGAGATATAGGTTATTCCACGAATATACGACTATTTTGGATTATTGCGACAACGAATATTTTACTGTGCAAGTAGAAATATGAAAGTAAATTGGTCTAATCATTATTCCAATAAAAAGGATCTACTGTTGGTATTACTAAACTAAAATTATTTCAGTTAATAGATGTTCAGATAGACGCAAAATTTATTGTGAAATTTATTCCGAAAATAACAAAAATCTTTACGCAAACGCTCCTACAAATAAATACAATGACGTCTTGAAGCCAAATCTGTTCATCAGACATTTGGGTTGGGTTTCGGTGAAATGTAAACACCAAAGAGGCGTGCCGGGTCTCTTTGATATTAAACTAAAAGAAATATAGTATTTTTAATTTAAATGAAAAAAAATTGTCAGAACGATGGTTCAGAAACCAGAAAAAGAATCTAATATTTCACTTTATTACCACTTTGGTCTGGTGATCAAAGTCAAAGTGATATCACTGGTGATATCACTTTGAGTGGAAGAGAGGTGTCCGTTAAAAGAGACTTGAGTGTAGAGTATTTGTTTATTGAAGCCAAAAATGCCGAGACGTGTTTAAGATGTAGAGAACGGGGGCCTTTGCGACCATTTCAATCCGTACATAAAGATGTTTATGATGCACTCTGTATTAGTAAAACAAAACTCAAGTCGGTTTTGCAAAAAGCAAAAAAAAAGTGGACAATGTGAACAAAATGTCGCACAATATAAATCTCGCCGACAACCAAAGACTTTTCCGAAATTGCAAATTTGAAATCCGTGAGACAATATATAAAAGGGCGAAAAGAAAGAACATGTTTTTTTACATTCAGTGCTACAAAAATAAAAGACAGAAATATATTTCTAGACCAAGTCTCTGGAGAATTTTAAGACAGGATGGCTTTAAGTTCAAAAAGGAAGACAATAGAAAGGCTTTGTGTGAAAGAGCTAGTGTCGTTCACAAAAGAATAAAATTTTTAAGAAATTATAATAAGAGAATAAGTACGTTTTTTTGTTTTTTTAATACTAATCAAATATTCAACTAAATAAATTACACTATTTAATCACTTAAGTGTTCTTGTACTTCGTTTAAATCACTTAATTCAAAAACCAACTTGTTTACAATACTAAACTCAATGATACTAACTATATACTTCAAAATCTGAATTACAACTGTTCTATAAACTATCAACTCTATATTTATATCATGACAGTATTTTAAAAATGGGGAGAATTTACAGTATTGTGCGAATTAATGGAATCACTGTGAATTTTTTTTTCATTTTTTCAATATTCACAGTTGACAACACTACCTACACAGTTGACAGCTGACCAAGCATTGAAAACATAACCTTACTGTGTGTTGGTGTGTTTGAGTGTGTTTTAGGTCATTTCTTACCAAGCTTGTGTTGTTTTGGGGGTTTTGTACTATTTTGTGTTGTTTTTGGTTTTATTCCAACATGGATATTACGCCTAGGAAGCGTGAAAAGATTGTCACGTTGAGTAAACACACTAGTATGTCACAAAGAAAGATTGCTAGAACGTGTGGAGTGAGTTAGGGGGTAGTAAGCAAAATTTTGAAGCATAAACGAGAAACGGGATCAGTGGATGTGAAAAAGGTTAGAAAAATGTGGAAGAGAGAGAAAAACAACACCAGCAGATGATAGATTTTTACTTCGAAAGAGCAAATTGGACCCAAGAAAATCAAGCCAAGACCTACAACAAGATCTAGCAGCATCAGCTATAGTGATTCATGACTCAACTGTTCGTAGAAGACTTTTGGAGAATGGTAGAAGGGCAATTCGTCCACAGAAAAAACAACTTCTAACTGAAGGAATGAAGAAACAAAGGCTACTGTGGGCCAAATGCTCTAATTGGACTGTAGGCGACTGGAAAAAAGTCCTATTTACAGATGAAACCCACTTTATAGTTCAGGGACAGCGGTCGAAATTCGTCAGGACGTCTGACAATGAAAAGCTTACACCATCTCATATTGATCAAACCGTAAAACATCCAGTCAAGAAAATGTTTTGGGGAAGTTTTTCATACATGGCGGTTGGATCTTTGGTGCCAATTGAAGGCATGATGAACAGCCAAAATACAAATCCATGTTGGAAAAGTATTTGGACAAACAACTCCAAAAATGCCAACCCCAAGGAAGAGCGATTCTTCAACAGGACTCTACTCCCTCTCACAAATCAAAGGAAATGATGGCATTTTTCAAAAATAAGATTAATGTTTTAGGTTGGCCCGGTAAGTCGTCCGCCCTCAACTCTATTGAAAATTTATGGGCCATTTGCAAAGCTAGACTGCGAAAAATCGACTGTACCACTAAAACAAAAATGATAGAAGCGGCCATTCAGGTTTGGTATCGAGATGAAAGGACATCTGACAACTGCCAGAAACTCATAGAATCTATGCCAAAACGGGTAAAAGCAGTAATTGCTGCCAAAGGGGGACATATTTCCTACTGAATGATGTAAGTTTACCTCTATAGTTTTGTCAAAATATAATTTTTTACTAAATAAACTGTTTTTTCATTAAAAAAGCCTATGATTCCATTAATTCGCACAATACTGTACTATTGTACAATTTAGCACATTGGACCATTTAAATCGATACCTTAAACTGAGTTTTAAACAGTCGTATATTCGTGGAATAGAGTATACAATTTTTTAATACAATTGAGAACCATGCTTAGAACCATTACGTGATAGTTCAAACTTGACATGTCTGTTAATTTTGTTAATGAGCTTTTTTTACATAATCGAAAAATAAAAGTTAAAAAACTTAAACGACACCATAATTTTTTATCAAGAAGTAAAATGTGGTATGTCACAAATCACAACCAATGGTTCAATATATAATAAATCAATTCATAAATTATTGATTCATAAATGAATCAATATTATTGGTAGAATGAAAAACGATGTACGAGATAGGTATGTAGCATTGAAAGAATCAACTACAAAATTGGGTTTAATAATAAACATCAACAAAACGAAGTATATGAAAATAAGCACGCAACCACAAATACTACGACCACTGGTTATAGAAAACGACGTCATCGAATCAGTTAACAAATTTAAATACCTGTGAGCGCTCCTTAACACTGAAATTTATTCTACTGCAAGGATAAACCGCAGAATTTGCACGGCCAACAGAAGCTATTTTGGGCTCAATATCCTCCTTAAATTCACAATTATATCGAGGAATACAAAAATAAAACTCTAGAAAAAAACAATAATACGTCCAGTCCTAACATATAGTTTAGAGACCTGGACTCTAACAAAAAATATTGAAAACATGTTGTGGTGTTTCGAAAGAAAAGTACTAAGGCGAATCTATGGAGCAGGGAATGACAATGGAATGTGAAGAAGACGATACAACTTCGTACTTTATAGAATATACCAGGAACCTTATATTGTAAAACATATTAAGATGGGACGTCTGAGGTGGATACGGCATGTAATGCGGATGGAACAAAACGACCAAGCTAGAAAACGCTCCTTAATAGACCCATTGGTCAGAGAAGAAGAGGGACCTAGAACAAGGCTCCTTGATAACATCGATGAAGACATGACAAATATGGGAATACGTTCTTGGCTGAGGAAGACGATGGATAGGGACGACTGAAGAGAAATTCTTGAAGAGAACCAACGTAGGGTTGTAAATCCAGACTAATGATGATGTAAAATGTGGTGGCTCAATAGTTTAGAAATGTAATGCTCGCTTTGAGAATTATTCCTCGAAACTAAAAATGACATACATTTTTTTACTTACACATTATTAAGTTGGCAGTGACCAGCTGTTACAACATGATTCTCCGTAATCAAGGTTGCAGCACAGTTAATAAAAAGGGGCAAAAAAGTAATTTTTATTCCCAATTTTACAAGCCATGGGTATTGAGCCACTTTCGCTTCTTTGCCACCAATGATTCTATAGTTATGCCTGTCGTATATCGTGGTTCCACAAATATCATTTGGCATATATTGCCAATTTGGGTGGTAGTCTATTGTGTAATTACAATTTCCTAAAAATAAAGTAATGTTTGTCAAGTTTGTAACACAACGAGTCCCATTTTCAATTACAGTTGTCACTTGTATGGAACTGCCGCAAACACACATTTAATGGAAGTTGAGGCGGGAATATAATGAAAGTTGAGGCGATAGAACCACCTCTAAAATTTCGACGGAAGTGATACATTTACTACCAGAGCTGTAGGGAAAAATACTAACTATCTACAGGATATTCATATTTTATTAATTTGAGATCTAACTCATAAATATTGGATAAAGAAAAAATGTTCTCTTCTGGTAAATAGTTACTTGAGGATATCTCAATACCGACATACTTTCTATAAGTCTGAAAATCAAGTTTTACCTGTCTTCTTCTTTCAGAAAGGCGTATGACTCTGTACCAAGGTCAGAACTATGGAAGGCGAGGTACAAATTAGAAATACAGACGGAACTCATAGAAGCTACAAAAGCTCTTTATAAAGATAATAAAGTGTCCATTAAAGTGGAAACAAGAATCATAGGAGACTTCACCACAACAAAAGGGCTCCTACAGGGTTGTTTCACATCTCCAGACTTGACTACATGGAAAGGAAAATGCAAAAGCATGGTAGTACCGGTACGAAACGAAAACCTATATAGCTTTGCAAGCGATCAAGTAGTGATTGCACAAGACCAAGAAGACCTCAGTTACATGGTGAAGAAACTACAAGAAGAATATGCCAAGGCTGGCCTAGATATTAACCTCGCGAAAACATATCTACAAGTGAAGAAGACATAGGAGATCTATAGATTGAGACATAATCTATAGATTGATCTATAGACGTAACAATAAAAAGAAAGGATAAACTCAAATACTTGGGGTTTGTAATCACGAAAAAAGCAACAACAGCGGAAGAAATTACTCAAAGATCATGACAAACAAGAACAGCAATCCCACAGCTCAGTATGGTGGGATAGATACCTAAATATTAAGACAAAAATACAGATTTATATAATATTACTGCGAGGTATTATGACATATGAGGCTGAGAATTGGATTGTTAACAAGAACACAGTAGTAAAATAGTAGCAACAGAGATGGAATGACTGCGAAGATGCTGTAGAGTACTAAGAATGGGTAGGAGAAGTAATGACGAAATAAAGCAAAGAACATTAATAGAAACAGACATACTAACATATATAGAACAAGAAAGACCAAAATGGTATGAACATGTAAGAACTAGCGAAAGCAGATGGATGAAGAGAATAACCGAATGGAGTCCCATAGGAAGGAGGAAAAGAGGACGACCTCGAAGATCCTAAAGGAATTAATTAGACGATGCTATGAGTAAGAGATGCCTAAACGATGGAAAATGGGACAACAGAGAGAGATGAAAATGGTTGAGCGATGGAAGGCAGTGAATACGGTAGAATCTATGAATATATATTCAATTTCTATGGTTTTCTTGAATAATTCTTGGTTTATAGAAGCAGATGGGTCTATGGTTATATCGCCCGCTCCACCCACCAATCAAAATTCTATTGTCAGAAATGTTCGCGCCAATACCAGGCTAACCCCCAGGCCAACCTCCACCAAAACCATGTCACCATCGACGGAATAAATAAACCATCCCCTGTGTCTAGTAGCAGTAACGCATTGGTTAGTAATCAGTGTAGTAGTGTCTGGGGGCTCGGGAGAATGAGACCTCGGCAGACTGATGATGAAGAAGACATCAAACGCGGTTCAACCCACGTATATCTACATATATTGAGATATTATAAAGCATGTGTAAGACCAATAATGACATATGCCTCAGAAACAAGACGCGACACAACCACAACATAAAGGGTGTTGGAAACGGCAGAGATGAGAGTAATAAGAAGAATTACAGGAAATGTGCTAAGAAATCAAAAGAGGACTGAAGACATTAGAAGAAAGTGTAACATACAGTGCAAAAACGAATGAACGATAAACAGACAAAAGGAATGGAATAACCACATAAGCAGAATGGGTGAGACAAGTGTGGTCAAAATAGCAAGAGATAATTGACCAATCGACAGAACAAATATCGGACGACCACGCAAAAGATGAAGTAACAACATTCCATAAAGGTATTAATCTGCCAATGAGCAAATGAATGAACTAAATGAACAATGAACTAAATTCCCTACAAAGAGGAAGAAGAAGAGCAACAAAGAAAATTTCAACAATTAATAAAGAACAAGGGGTTCTTATATATAATCGTACTTACCAAGGTTCAGAAATACTACTGCAACGATTACAATAATAGGAATCATCTTCCTACACTCTTAACAACTAACATAGTGAACTGTGATTTATGTTTTTAATTATTATTGAGAATTAATTGAAATTGAAAACAAATCTACATCATCGTCCCACTCAATTACATAAGTTAAACAATTGCATTTATCGATTTCGTTTTTGTGGGCGACGTTACAGTTCATCTTTCCATTTAACTGTGCAACATTCAGTGCCGTACGTCATAGCTAGAGACTGCATTATATGCAAAATGTATAGGTATGCATATTATATGCTTGATCTTTATTATGTTTTTCATAAATGCATATCATCATCAATCAGCCAATCGCATCCACGGATGGACATAGGCCTCCCTCAGTTATTTCCAGTGTTCTCTACACTGGGCTGCTTGTATATATACATATATTGTATATTGTATATATATATATATATATATATATATATATATATAATATATATATACATATATATATATACATATATATATATATATATATATATATATATATATATATATATGTATATATATACATATATATATATATATAAGATATATATATATATATATATATATATATATATATATATATATATATATATATATATATATATATATATATATTATAACCTAACCTAACCTAAATTTTTGAAACACCCTGTATATATACCTATATATATATATATATATATATATATATATATATATATATATATATATATATATATATATATATATATATATATATATAGATATAGATTTTTCACGGCGACATCCACAAGGCTTTGATCGGTAACCTCATATTCACTATTTTGTAGAATTTTATTAATATTACTTATAATGCTACCTAAAGTTAAAATCAAAGTTTAATATCCATTAAATAGTTGGAGGTTATTTATGATTTTCTTGGTTCTTTCTCACTTATTAATATAAATAACATTGAATTTATTTTGGACCACATGGTCAATTGCTGTGCTAATTTTTGTACAAGTTCATATATGTTGTTAGTTGCTTAACTGTTTATACAAGATCAGCGTACTATGTCCATTTACTTAGTTTCATTCACATATTTGTTAATAACATTGACTGCTACATATCTTTTTAAGATGAACTGATGATGCTTTCAAAACTCGAAAGCGAAACGTCTTCAAAATAGATAAAGTAGCCTATCAACTTTGTCTTTTATTTCTCCACCTAGAGACCGATATAAGAACCCACCACTCGTCTGAGTGATCCTTATATATATATATATATATATAGATATATATATATATATATATATATATATATATATATATATATATATATATATATATATAGGTATATATACAGGGTGTTTCAAAAATTTAGGTTAGGTAAAAAATTGAAAAATAATTGGGGTTTGCTTATTAAAAAATTTTTGTAACGCCATCCGTTTTCAAAATACAGGGCGTTGAAGAAAAAAAAATTTTACGCATTTTTTACGATTGTTGCCGAAACTACTGGCATCATTGTAATGAAATTTTATACGAATATGTTTTAGAAGCTGATACATCCCATGAATTTGTTTTTATATCTGATTCTTATAGGGGGCGCTAGTTACACGGATCGTATTAAGTATTAGTCAATAAACTTTTTTAGAAGTATAATTATTAATCAAAATTTCAAGTAAACTCAAACATCATTTAATTTTACACGAAAAAGGTACTCTTGGTAAAACTCGATACTGTGTACCGTCTTCGAAATATTTTGATTTGAAAATTATGAAATAATAATTAATGCTGGTATAAAATAGTTAGTAATTAAACAAAACTCACAAGAAGAAAATTAAATTAATGACTGAGAACATAAAATAAAATTCAATTACAGTAAATGTTTAAAATGCCCTCCGTTTTCGCGAACACACAAGTCTATTCTTTTTTCTAAAGATTCCATTAACCTTCTAAACGGTAGGGGATCAGCTATGATGTCATTAAATTGACGTTGAATTCTTTCTTCCAATTCTTGGAGTGAATTTACCTTTGTAGCATAGACTTTTTCCTTAATATACGACCAAACTGCGTAGTCCAAAGAGTTAAAATCGCATGACCGAGGAAGCCAATGAATCGGAGCTTCTGCACCTCTACCAATCCATCAATTCGGAAAATGATTACTCAACCAATTACGACACCTTCTATCAAAGTGTGGTGGAGCTCCATCGTGCATAAAAAATAAAGATCTTCGCTCTTTTAGCGTTAAATCTTCTAATATCTCGAATAAGGAAATGTTTAAAAAATCAATATACATATTACCATTTAAATGTCCAGGTAGAATATTAATTTGTTACCAAAAATTGCTGCCCAAACATTAATTTTAAATAAAGGTTTGTAATGTGATACCCTTTTGACTCGTGGATTCTCATCACACCAGTAGTGTGCATTATGGGAGTTAAACATACCTTGTCGTGTAAAGATGGCCTCGTCCGTAAAAAGAATGCATTTTAAAAAATTTGGATTGTGGGCTATGTTTTGTTGCAATGTTTCACAAAAATCCACTCTAACTGGTAGATCATCTGGCAAGAGCTGTTGGACTTGTTTGTAATGATAAGGATGTAATTGCTGTTCTTTCAGTATCCGCCATGTACTTGAAAAAGAAGTATTTGTTTGTCTTGCTATATTTCTCGCGCTAACTGTTGGATCTTGATCAAGTAAATTTAAAATATTATTTTCTTTATTAATTGTTCTTGTTGTTCTTGGTCTACCAGAATTTATTTTAATATTAGGTCTCTTATTCCCAGTTTCTCGACAACGTCGTTCAACGGCTCTAAATGTTTTTTTACTTGGTAAGTTTCTACTAGGAAACTTTTCTGCATAACGTGTTACAGCTGCGCTAAAACATCCTAAACATTCGCCTAAGGTTAATAACATGTCAGTGTATTCAACATTTGAGTACATTTTGATTTGATTTTACAAATAACAAGGTTTCAAAACTCTAATTATTGTTGATTTATCGTCATAACAATCAATAAATGTCAGATTTCTATGGACACTTGGAGAAAATAGGGGTAAACCTATTAGAACTTTATCATTACTACCAGTATCAATTATTACTTCAGAATTTTCAAATCAAAATATTCCGAAAACGGTACACAGTACCTATCGAGTTTTACCAATAATACCTTTTTCGTGTAAAATTGAATGATGTTTAAGTTTACTTGAAATTTTGATTAATAATTATACTCTTAAAAAAGTTATATTATTATTATATTCGTATCAAATTTCATTACAATGTTGCAGTAGTTTCGGCAAAATCGTAAAAAATGCGTCAAATTTTTTTTCTTCAACGCCCTGTATCTTGAAAACAGATGGCGTTACAAACATTTTTTACAAAGTAAACCCCAATTATTTTTCAGTTTTTTACCTATTCTAGAAACAGGGTTACCTTTTTTGAAACACCCTGTATATATATATATATATATATATATATATATATATATATATATATATATATATATATATATATATATATATATATATATAAAGGAGCTGAGCTGGACATATCGAACGAAGGATGGCCGGCGAAATAAAGAAATCGGGAATTGGCGACCATATGAAGCCAGAAAACCGCAAATGCGCTAGAGCCACGATTTTAAAGGAACTGCAGGACCAATGTGGAAACGTCTTACAAACAACCGGGATGAATGGCGAGAATTAGTACAGACCTATATTCGGCAATCTAAATAGGGATGACTTAAAATAGGAACTGAGTAAAATAACCGTAAAAAATATATAACGTCCTACACTATTAAATACATAAAGCAATTTTTTTATTATTATTACGCAATGATTGAAATTTAATCCAAACCACCTTATCATCATCCCACCCAATTACACAAGTTAAACAATAAGAAACTTGTATGTATTAAAATGCATTTTTGTTTAATAAAAAACATCGAAAGTTTGTTGTGACAGAGTTCTTAGTAACAGAGCTACGTTAGGAATTTATTTTATTTTGTAAAATATTTTTTTATGTATGTATTTATTGTAATTTTAATTTATTTTTTTTTGCTATGCACCACTATTAATAACTTTAATTTAATTAATAAGAAGAATAAACAAATTTTAGTTTTTTAGTAGATTTCTTCTTCTTCAGCTTTAAGTAATCCAATTTCGGACATAGGCCTCCCCCAAATCAATCCAGTGTCTTCTATTTTGCTCCAATTGCTTCCAGTTGTATTCTCAGATCTGCTTAATATCATCCGCCCATCTCATTTGTGGTTTTCCTCTGCTTCTCTTGGCTAACCTTGGTCTCGATTGTTGTATTTTCTGGTTCCATCTCTTAACCTTCAGTCGGACATTGTGTCCTGCGAAGCTCCATGTTAATTTGGCAGCATGTTCTCCTGCGTCTTTTACTTTGGTTTTGCTTCTAATCCATTTGTTGGTTGTCTATAAGTCTCACTCCGAGCATTGATCTTTCCATATATCACTGAGGATATACTGATCGTAAATTCTGGTTTTAAAATATTGTTCTGTTTTAGTGTTTTTTAAGATCCAACTCAGTTTTTCAAATCCTGCACACGCTAACCTTATTCTTCTGGTAATTTCAGCAGTTTGATTTTCTTTATTAACTTTTATTATCTGTCCCAGGTAGATGTATTCGCTTACTGTTTCTGAATTTATGTCGTTTAACGTTATTTCTCTAATATTCGGTGTATTTGTCTATATTTTTGTTTTTGCCAAGTTCATCTTAAGGCCTACTTTTTCCGAAGCTTGAAATAGTTGCGTCATCATGGTCTGTAATTCTTCGAAACTTGTAGCGAATATTACAATGTCATCAGCTTATATTAAATGACTCAGTTTTCTTCCATTAAGATTTATTCCTTTATCTACAGGTCTATCTTTCCTGACACGTCTTACAGTCCAAGTGTGAATAGCTTTGGTGGGATAATATCTCCCTGGCGAACTCCTCTGTTGATTGGTATAGCTTTGGTTTTCGCATCTATTTGTATTTTCATTGTAGCTTTCTTGTAAATATAATGTATGAGCATTCTGTATCGGGAGGCTATCCTGCAGTTGTTCATAGCTCTCTCT